AACCAAACTCCCACCTCATAAGTTTGCAGTAAAAGCAAAGGTGAGACAGTGGAACTAAATACATAAGTAACTGACAGTGTCCTGACAGTGTAATAAGAGAAAATAGGTGTGTATTTGTGTCCTAAACCAAACCATAATTTGTACAAGATTTTGCAGCTGTTGAAATCAACTGGAAAACAAGAGAAATACAGCTAAGGGGGGGGGGAGGGAGGAAGAAATTTTTTCTCTCAATATACAGCTTTTTTGCAGCTCCAGAAAGAGAATTCACCAACCCAAGCTTTGTACTTCACTGCAATCAACAGTAAGTTAACACAGTTAACTGTCCTGGAAAATTTATGATTACCAGAACTTGTGGGCTAAACATTAGGAAACACTGCACTTTGGGGTAAATTTAAATTTTCACCTCTTTCACAGACTTCAGAAACTGATGACTGTTTGCAAGACAGATTTCAGGCCAAAACCGCTTCCTGGATTCAGAAGACAAAGTCAGTACTTTCACAGTCAGTGGGCGTGGAAGGTTAATTTTGTGCCTATTTGCCAACTATAACACAAGGCCACATGATTTGCAAGGACTAAGTTATCCTTATGCTAAGGAGTTAATTTAAATCCATACCTCACGTATCCCATGAGAAAGAGGCTAACTGGGGCTAACCACATAGAAATAAAGACTTCACAGGACAAAGGAAAGAGAGTGTGACTCTATCCCATGCAACAATGTTTTTCCCTCACAGCAGAGCCGTATTTTGCTCTTTGTTCTGGACACCACGCATGCACCAAAATAAAAAGGGCCAAAACCATCAAGAGTTTCTCCAGCAGAAGTGCCTCAATCAGGGTGTTAAAGCTGCATGCCTCACTGCACCAAAGTATAAGTGAAATGAAGCCAGAAATCTACCTTTCTTCCTTACTTTACACATCATAAAGCACTTCATTAATACATTGAGTATGTATTACAGAGCACCTGTGACTAAGAGATGCTGTTGTTCAATCCAACTTTAAGTGAGGAGATTTGACACTGGGCAGCAGGAAGATGACAAATCAATGAAAAAAAAGTACAAAATGAAGTTGAAATATACCAGGGGTTACTTCATTAGACTGTCCTCCTTTCAGTCACCCACACTGGCATCCCATATAAACAGAAAGAAACATATCTCACAACACTTTTCACCAAATACCTACATTACAGACACTAGAAAGCTGCCACAAGAAATTTGGTTCTTTTATATGAAGTTATGTTTCATATACTGAAAGTGTATAAACAGACAAGGATAAAACCTTACTGTAGCCAAACAAAGCAGCACTAACTTTAGATAGTATGAAATACCCAGATTTGGACCGGGATTATATCCTACTGGTTGTACTACATTATTGCTTTTCTTCCGCAGAAAACAAAACTGAAATTAAGTTTTATTAGCATAACTTAGTATCCAAAAAAACTGGCTTTGGAATGTTATCAAAAGATCAGATAGGACTTTTATATCATATATATATATATAATATCTCAATCACAAAACAAAAACAAACAAACACACATACCCCCAAATTAAACTACCTGTAAAGACTTTTTTAATCAAAACTCAAGGACACCATAATGTGTTAAGGAATAAGACTTTTTTAAAAAGGCAATAAAAATATCCTATTCGACTTCCCTTATTTCCACAATATAGCAAGGAAGACTGACTTAGAAAGATTTAAACCAGAAATTATCATTTTTTTTCCTCATATGTGCCACTTTACTATCAAACTATATTTTATGAAGATCTTGCTGCACCATGTAACTCAGAACCTTAACATATGTACCTTTACTCTTGAAGCTCCACTTTAAATAATGTGAGAAACCAAAAGTAAATAACACTTATCAAAATATAAAGATCAAGCCTATTAAGTTCTCAAGAGAAAAACCTACAAAATCACAAAGGCTTATAGAACGTTTCTGTGAAACAGAGATTCATAGAGACTAATAATGTTTACAGAATTCATGTAAAGTGAACAAAATCATTAATGTTGTCTGAAATCACAGTTGTCAATACCATTTTCTCGTCTTTTAGTTTTTCCTACAGAAGAGCTTCTCTGCTCAGAAACAGAATTTGCACGGTGACAAAAATACTCTTATATAACTTACTGTAGCACTATTTTAATGAATAAAAAAGTCAGCTTGTCATATTAGAATTTCTAGATAGCACTAAAGAACACAAGTACCTCTTCTAGGCACCGGGAATGACACAGTCCCCAGGGGACACTGTTCTACCATAGATAGAAACAACCTATTTTTGCATTGTGGACTGCTTTCAAACAGCTTGTCTGCTCACTGTTGTCAGGGTATCAATGCCTCCTCCATCAGTCTAATACCCCTCCTTTGCTCTGGTGCTGTAGCAAGCAGCTGAAGTGATGGGAGAGGCTGACAGAGCCCTCATTCACAGGGAAGTCTGGGGATGTCTGTTTTAGCAATGAACTGGGAAATTTAACTTATAACTAGGCAAAACATCATTTCCCTATGTCATCTCTTTAAAAACACCTGATGCTCAATAACATGAATTTAATTGTTCTTAAAACAAGATGGCACATTTATAAACATTACTGTCAATATCAGAATACCACTAGACACATTTTACCCATGAGGGCAAAACCTGTAATCAAGTTATTGAAGTCACAGACAGTTCTACCTCTCTTCCCTGGTCAGGACACACCACAGTAGTCCAACTATACATCACTATCACGTGCTGACTCTAAATACATACCTATGTAACCTAATACAACCTTAGAATACATAAGAAAAGTCTGCTGCAGTTTCAGTAGGACTGACATCTAAACTTCTGTTAAGTCACACTAAGTATAAAGTAATTGAACACCTCAAGGGCAAAGAATGACTGCGCTGAGTGTGTAAATTCTTGCATGCCTTACTAAATTACTAGGGAAAAAGAAAGTTAACAGTTCTACTATGATACTATTTCTAATGCAGTATCTTCTCATATGACCTCATTTTTAGTAAAGTCTCAAGGAAGTCTTACCGTTTCCTTTGTATTTAAGGGAGTTGAACTCAAACTTGTATTTCAACTCTTGTTCCTTCTAAGTATTTTGGGTTATAATGTGCGCAGCTAAAGACATAAGTAACCTAACTGCATTACTCGCCTGTACTTCAACCTGTTTTCCCCACTGGGTAATGACATTGCCAACATGATTTCAATACTTACTGTGATAATAGAATAACACTAGAGTCAGTTGTAAGGTTCAAAGTTGCACTGCTCATTTTTACTGTTTTCCCATTAAACAGTCCCATTACTCCTCAATTAATATTCAGGTTGGGAGAAAAGGGAAGGGGAAAAAGAAAAAAAGATAAAAAAGGAAGCTAGTAAAAAGACCTCTTCAGAAAATGTAGGATTTAAAATTTTCTGGGGTCTCATTAGCAAGTCTCGCTAGCCCTTCACGTATGCTCAGCTGCTTATTTCCAAGGTTTTCTTCCACTTTATCCAGAACCCTTTTTTCTTTTTTTTTTATTAAAAAAAAAAAAAAGTTATCTCCCTTTGACTGCTAACCAATCATGCTCTACTTAAGAGTGCAGTCTTGAACATTAGAAATATCATCTTATGTCAAGGCACGAGTGTTCTTAAGAGCCATGCAACACACATGGAAATCATTATTTGCATTGGAAACTGAAAAGACTGCAGTGTGCACCTTGTAAACTAATGACAGACACTTATGATTGCGTATAATTTTCTTTCAGCAGAAATTACTTCCAACTAAATTCTAGCACCTGACACCTACTGCATTTTAAAACTCATGGACAGATAAAGTAAGCTTCAAATTAAGAAGCTATTTCTAACTTCCTCCTCTAGTAATATTCAGGATATTTCATTAACCAAAGTTATGATATTTTGGAGGACTAACTTCTGTAATGGATAGCTATATTAACAAAGAATCAAATATATTACTCTTCAGTTGAAGTCATTGATTTAAATAAGTTTAGTATGTGGAAAGTACATTACATACATGGGTGATGACCCTTGAAATGAAGACTACTAATACAATAAAATTATAAGTTATGCCATCTAATACATTCTAACATGAAGGCTATGCAAGTGGTAAATAAGTTAAAAGACCAGACAATTCCTTAATTTCTTACTAATGATCTATGAAATATCATGTTAAATTTAAATTACACTGACAATTATAGTGTAGGAGCATAGCACTGTTGAACTGAGCAAACATACGCTTTGGTAAATTACAGGCAAGGTTATAAAGAACTGCATTACAACAACTCCTTAAAACTAAACTTCACTTAATGCAGGTCATACCGTGATTTATGAGCCATACAAACCCAGCAAGTCAAAGAATAACTCAAGAAAAAAACCAGCTTATGTCAACTGCTGTTATTAATAATAGTGATTGAGGAAATAGTAAACTGAAAATATTCGGGAGTTTGTTGTGACATCAGTCTGACGAGCAGTTACACACAGCGTAGCTGTGTCAGGTCTCAATAGTAATATTCAGAAGAGAAAAGTACTGACAGTCACTTCTGTCGAGTTTTCAACAGAAGAAAAAAACAAAAAAAATCTCGGCGGTAAGACACCTAGATGGATCTCGAGCAATTTCAGCGGACCTACAGCCACACATCAGTTCGAGAAGTATTGCAGACAGGCAAACTAAAGTTGCTGTAAAATCTCCACTTCTCGTAATGAAAATCAGAGCCCAGCATCACCCTCGGCTCACCAACGAAGCACACAAAATCCCACTTCCTCCTAATTTCACAGGCAGCCTGTGTGACTGCTCACTCCTGTCCTTGCCGGAGAAGCCCAGCCCGGCGGGCTCAGATGTTCGCTCACAACTTTCTCTCCCCGGCGCGGCGGCAGGACGAGCGCACGTGCTGCCGCTCCCCGCTCCGCGCACCCTGCGCCGGGGCCGGGCCACCCCCAGCCCGGCGGGAGCGAGGGGCCGGGCCGTGCCCCGGGAGGCGGCAGCGCGGCGGGGCACGGCGGGGCTGGGCTCCCGGGCGGCTTCGGACCTACCTGCGGCTCGGCGGGCTCAGGCGGCTTCACCAGGTGCTTCTCCTTGTAGAGAGACCAGAGGCCGATGTCAGGCAGGAAAATCAGAGCCGCGGTGAAGAGCAGCGTCATTTGCAGAAACCTCTTCTGTTTCCTCTTCATGGCCAAAGCCGGGCTGCTCTGCTGGCGGCGGCGATGTCAGCTCCCCCAGCACCACGGGGCCAGCTCCTTCCCTCCCCGCTGTCCCTGCGAGGGGCCCGGAGCCGCGGAGAAACTTCGCCCTCCTCACGCCTGCCCACCCCGTGCCCGGGCGGGGCCACCCCCCGCGGCGGCGGCGGCGGCGGGGCCGAGGCTGGCGGCCGCTCCCCCCGCCCCGACGCGGTGCTGAGCGGCGGCGGTGCCGCGCCTGGGGGAGCTCATGGATCCACCTGCGCACAGAGCGGCAAACAGCCCGGCACACGGCGGCAGAGGGGCAACAGAAATATATATTTAAAAAAAAAAAAAAAAAAGGAGGGAAAAGCCCTACAACCGGAGTCCTCTAAGCGGCGTGGGACCAAGAGCGCCCCCTCCGCCCGGCTCCGCCGGAGCGCTGGCGCTGCGCGCAGCCCGCAGCTCCCAGCCCCCGCGGCTGGCCGCGCCCGCCCGCCTTACGTCCCCCTGCCTGCCCGGGCCCGGGCCGGGGGGCGCGGCATCATGAGCTCATCACGCGCAATTTGCTAAGCAAGAGTTAAAAAAAAAAAACATCAGTAGAAGAGAGCTGATGCCGGAGCAGCAGCACAGCGCGCCCGTCCGCGCCGGGGAGGCGGGCAAGGAGGGGCGGCCCCGCGCCCCCCGCCACCACGTGCGCCGACCGGGCCGGGGGCAGGCGACATCGGGCCCGCCCCACCGCGCCCCCTCATCCCGGCCGCCCCATGTGCGCCATCCGCCGGCTCCGCGGCTTTTCCCTCGGCGGGCGAGGCGCTGAGCGGGAGCCCGGCGCGGGTTCCGCGGACCGGAGCCGGGCGGTGCTGCTGCTGCCGGTTCTGCCGCCGCGCACCGGGAACGGGGTTTGGAATTCCCGTTCCGGTCCGTCCTCCTCGGCGCTACGTGAAACGCGGGGGGAACCGCGCGGAGAGCCCGCGGGCTGCTCCCTGGCCGGGGGCCCGGGTCGCTCCGCCGGGCAGTGTCGGGGCGCTCACCTGCCGGGCTCTTCCCGCGCTCCCCCCGCGGCGCCGCCTTTCCCGAGGCTACCCGACCGCAACCCCAGCAGGTCCAGCCTTCTCCGAAACGCGGTCACCCCCCCTCGGTAGCAGCACCGAGGGAAGGAGATGTTCAAAGCAATGTCGATTTGTACCCAGCTTGTTGCAATCGAACCCGTTTGGGCTTCTGGTCGGAGTTCAGCTGCTCGTTCTGACCACGCAGTGCAATTACCTTTTCTTTTCAAACTAACTCCTCTCAGCAAAATAGGAGGACGCTCAGGTTAAGCTTACTAGGACCTAGTGCCCTTTAAGCTTTGTCACATCAGACAGTGGGAAAGCGTGTACGAGACTTGTAACATTAACGTGTTCAGAATGAATATTGAAAAATAAAGGTATATCTAACTTCTTTTTTTTTTCTGTCTTGTGTGTAGAAAGCTACCACTTCAGTGACAGTCCATGTTTCTATTGGTGGCTAAAATATTTCTGAATGTCTAGGTCTTAATCCTGCAGTAAGAATCCTCTTTCTGTAACCACAGTGCATCTCTACAAATGATGAGAAGTAGTCCTCTCCTTTTCCATGGGTGAGATCCGTCTTGTCCATCCACAGAACTGTCTTGTGCAGAAAGGATTTCCTACATATGCATGAAACAAGAGGCAGTTAAAGGTTATTTTTAGGAGAGTAGCTGGAGATAAAAGAAAGCTTGTGGGAGGAACAGGAAAACTGAACGATTAAGGTGGGATGGGAGGAAACAGCATAATGCTCTTTACATAAAAGTAGGACTGGAAGGGACCTTGCGAGGTCAGCTCTTCCATGGCTCTGCCCCAAGGCACAATCAGCAACATCTGTGTCATTTTTGACAAGTGGTTGTCTAACCAATTCTGAAGTCCTCCAGCGATAGCACCACTCCAGCCTCCTCAGGCAATCTGTTCTGACTTGCTGTTGCAAACTGTTCCTTAATGTTTAACCTGAACCTTCCTTACTGTAATTTCAGAGTATTACGATAGACACCAAAGGGACAGCAAGCAGAGTATTTCTCTCAGTCTTCACACAGTTAAAGTCCACTTCCAAACACTGTTCCATTGGCACTCCAGGACATCTCAAGAGCTGATGTCACTTCCGGCTTTCATCGGGACTGTCTTCAATTGATTTGTATTGTATTTGAAGTGCGATGTCCAAAGCTGGAGCTAACAAGCTGCTTGGGACCTTTTTAAGTGTTTATAAGAAAAGAAGGCTAATTGTGGATGTGTCACAGTGTGTTCTGTTTTTCCATGCTTCCATGTGGAATGGAAGCTTTGTTGTAAGAGCAGTAGCCTGTTAACTAATGACCATTTTGTGATAAAATTTAAGCTCCAGTTTGTTTTGTTTCCCTCAAGAACACCTAATTCATTGTCTCTATTTCTATGGCTGAATATTTCTCCTGTTTGTACTGTCTTTATTGAAGATAATTTTTTTCTGGAATATTTATCCAGTTTATCAAAATCACTTTGAATTTAAACCTATTTTCCTCTGTCATATACAAATGTAATAAATTTGTTCAATTCTGCAATCCAGACTGCTAGCAAGAATTTTAGTGTGTTCAGATGCAGGACAGATCCTTGCAGAGTTCTGCAAAATGTATGTTCCCACATTTGACATTGCGCCATTGATACTTTACTTTCTCTGTAGTTTCTAGACAATTTTGCACTCACCCTGAAAATTGCAATACCTAAGTAAACTAATCTTGCTTAGTGGAGTGTCATGTGCAAGGCTTTGCTCTATTGTCTTGGTGACAAAGGATGTACTTCATTGTTTCCTTTTCACCCCTGTCAGATGTCACGTTAAAAGGGGCAGAAAAGAAGAATTTTCTGTCCAACCTGTATTAATTTATTTTTTGTCTATCTATTAATGCAAATAGATAATTTGTATTAATCTATTTTTGTACCTTCTCCAAGAGATCAAAGCCTTTTAATATCCAAAACAGTCTGTTAGCCTCTCACCTATCGAGACCTTTCGTTTAACAGATTCACTGAGACAGACAGGACGTTTGATACCTTTTATATATAGGGACTGCACTTAATAGTGGTAGAAAAACCCCTCAGAGGGTTTCTCCTATGAGTTATTTTGCTGTTGACGAAACTGTCAGCATCTAAAAATGGACTCATTCTAACAGTTCATGAAATAACATGTTTAATAATGCGAATTTGTGACAATTTATGGGGTTCGATGTGTCTGGAATAGGGTCTAACTGCAAAAAAACACACAAACTCTGTAGTAATAATAATAATACAAAGCATAGGCACACGCACTGAAGCAAAAGCAACTTACAATGAAGTGATAAGTAAAAATTTTAAAGTACTATAGAGCAAAAGTAAAATTAGTATATATGTATAAAGCAATTGCTCACCCCAAGGCATCCCAAGAGGGTGGAGGAAGAAAAGGTAGCCCATCAGTTACCTCCGCAGAGTTGATGGAATTTGTCCTGGATTTTTGCTTGGGTCCAATCTCTTTTTATACCTTTTTGCTTTAGGCAGTTTGAGTGGCTATAATAAATAAACTAATTTTGGGGTGATAGACAGATGAAATAGGCCCAAGGGTCCACTTTCTCAGTTCCAGGATGTTTGAGAAAAAAGCCCATGTTTATCTCCATATCACTTCTTCCTTTTAATCCTTTTATCAGTTTCTGTGAATGTTTCCCTAGGTGCTGGAGGTTTCCAGGAAGCCATCAGGAGGGAGTTTTTTCTCCTTTTTTGTGCCTTTATCTATCATCTTACACCAGGTAATAAGGATGGCATAAAAGATCACCAAAAAAACACTCCGCAAGCATTTCCACCATTTGATTTTTGCAGCTAACCAAGGAGGCATTCAATTCAACCAAATTTTAAAAAATTGGGGTTGTATTCAAGAGCTGAATACACCTAAAGATTAGAATTACTCAGAAAACCAAAAGGCATTGATCTTGTCAGAAATTCTATTTACTTTTTTAGCTCATCATCCAGTGTTAGGAAATTTACCAAGCATATAGAAGATTTTGATTCAGCTGCCTTTTTGTCTGAAGCTAAAACCATCCTAAGTATAGAAATGATTGCTATGAGATCATGTAATAATTGTATAGCAAAGTAGGACTACTGGTAGGAAAGATTTAGGAGATGGTGCATCCAGAATTCCACAGCATGCCAGTTAAGTCTATCTCTGGAGGTCAAAGTGAATACAGACATTAATTCTCAGGAGATGAAATTCATTTTAATTTCCTGAATCCTGAGAACAAGTTTGTTGGGTCGTAGTCCACAACCGACAAATCCAGGTCTGCTTTGTAAAGAATTAAAGGCATATTTTTCAGCAAATCATTTCTTTCACATAAGCCACCTAGCCCTCTTAAGCACTGCTGAATTTTTAACATGCTAAGCTAGTTTTAAATGAAGGTAAAAGAAGGTATCACTGTTGTGTGAGTTAAAAGATGCAAGTACACAATAACACGTGGCAATAACTTATGCTCACCCTAGAAGAACTTGCAGTGGAGATGCAGAATATACAGTTTCTTCAGTGGGAGTATATTCAAGCCTTCAAGTATTTGATGTTTAATATCTCAAGCCATAAATTATACAGAATGAAAGAGGTGCATCCTGAAACCGTATACACCTTGGCACCACAATTTAGTGTATTGGGGACATATTTTCATTTCCACTCTTACATGTCTTTCTAAGCCAAAAGTTCCACCAAGATTTCTACTAGGAAAGATTTCTACTAGGACAGAAAATAAGAGTGTAAAGCACAGTAGCAGAGATGAGAACTACCAAGCAAGATGACTATGAGAAGCTGTTCAGTCATGTATTTCAAACCTAGAAGCTGAACTCAGGCAGCCTGCAAGGTAAATTTTTTGAGATCACAGCTTTTTTTCAAAAGGGACTCCAGGTCATGCCTAATCAATACTCTTCATGCAGGAAAGCCACTATTCAATGTATCTATTGCAGCAGCCAACTCTGCATTCACATGAAAGACAAAGTACCCACCTTCGTGTTCACTGTTGCAAACAGCAGAGGTTGATGTGCTCTAAGCAGAGAATGAATCCAGTAAAATGATGATTAACCATCTGTAATATTGCCATATAAAAGAGTAAATAAAGGTAATGAAATGGGAGTTTGCTTTGATTACAGTATTTACCTCCAG